CTTTCATGCACTGGAGAAGGAAATGGCAACCCACTCCAGTGTTCTTGCCTGGAGAATCCCAGGGACGGGGGAGCCTGGTGGACTGCCGTCTATGGGGTCGCACAGAGTCGGACACGACTGAAGTGACTTAGCAGCAGCAGCAGCAGTTATGCAGTTGACACCACCCTTATGGCAGAAAGCAAAGAGAAACTAAAGAGTCTCTTGATGAAAGTGAAAGAGGAGATTGAAAAAGCTGATTTAAAATTCAACATTCAGAAAATACTAAGATCATGGCAACCGGTCCCATTACTTCATGGCCAATAGATGGGGAAACAATTTAAACAGTGACAAACTATTTTTTGGGCTCCAAAATCACTGCAGATGGTGACTGCAGCCATGAAATTAAAAGATGCTTGCTCCTCGAAAGAAAAGCTATGACCAACCTAGACAGCATATGAAAAAGCAGAGACATTACTTTGTCAACAAAGGTCCATCTAGTCAAAACTATGGTTTTTCCAGTAGTCATGCACGGATGTGAGAGTTGGACCATAAAGAAAGCTGAGTGCCAAAGAATTGATGCAAGGATATTAAAACAGTCAATTCTAAAGGAAATCAGCACTGAATGTTGATTGGAAGGACTGATGCTATAGCTCCAATACTTTGGCCACCTGATGTGAAGAGCTGACTCATTGAGAAAGACCTTAACATTGGGAAAGATTGAAGGCAGGTGGAGAAGAGGATGACAGAGGATGAGAAGGTTTGGATGGCATCACCGACTGGATGGACATGAGTTTGAGCAAGCTCCTGGAGATGGTGAAGGACAGGAAAGGCTGGTGTGCTGCAGTCCATGGGGTAGCAAAGAGTTGGACACGACTGAGCGACTGAAATGAACTGAACTGAACTGAAATATAAACATATGAACTTGTGCACCATTGGGAAATAGAAGTCACCCAGTCTCCTCTGATGTAGAAAATGGGGTAGGGACAAGTTTCCAGGAGGAAGAATTCACTCTAGGATCTTGGCTCCACATAGACTAACCCTGAACTAAGACTTCAGCCTAGAAATCCCCGCTGTTGGCTTTCACAGCTCAACTTGCTATCAGGTTATAGTCACTTCAGTCAGCCAGATGCCTTCTCCATGGCTTCTTGATATGCAGGGAGGTCCCTTTCCTTTGCAGATGCACCCAGGGACTCACATAAAGTTGTTAAGTCAACACTCGCAAGAACTCTGCATTTGATTTGTTTTCTGGATAAACCTGTCTGAAGCAGGGAACCTCACCACTTTCTTTCTTTTCAGTTCTTTAATCCTAAAGCCTGGGCTATACTCAAATCACTTCATAAATCTATGACCACTGAAGTAGCCTTTCCCCATCTGCCAAAAATTCCCAAACACACATTTTTCACGGAGGCTTTTCTTAGCAGAGCTCTTCCCCTGCAGTGCTTTAACACCATATCCCGATGAACACTGAGTCAGGTGCTTGTGGATTTGGCTGATGAGGCTGAGATTTCCCTGTGCCTCGGATTCCCGGTGTGGAAAAATCGAGCTAACAGGATCTCTCCCAAGGCTCTGCTGCGAGAAAATCAAATGAAATAATGCATACGCACTTGCACAAGACCTGGCTCAAACCCCACCAATATATATTTTATTACTTTCTACGTTGTCAAAACACAAGTATTGTGTCTTGCTACCAGAGAGAGCAATTCCTATTAAGTCAAGCATCCCTCGCAACACTCGGGGGTTGCAGGCTCTTTGAACAGTCTATATGATGTATGTGCGTGCATAGACCAGCTTGCTCTCTCTGTGTGTGTCTGGATGCCCAGATTTCGTTATCAAAGAGTCAGAGCCCATCAGAGAACTTAGCAGCAGCCAGGCACGGTTTTTTCTGGTTTTTCCTTCTCCTTTGTCAGGTCTTTGTTCCGCCCCTGGCTACACTCTCACAGAACCACTTACTGGGGATTAAAAGGAGGGGACTCGGCCGGCGAAGGCGGGGCCTGCAGGCACGGGGGGCCCAGCGATTGGGTTCACCCTCGGGGGCTGCGATTTCTTAAGTGCCAGCCAGCGGGCGCCGGCCAACCTCCTCCCGCCCCCCGCCCCACTCCGCCCCGCCACAGCCGAGGACCAACCGGCCGCCCCAGACGTCAGCCGCGCGCAGCAGAGCCTTGCAATTGAGCCCCGTTTGGCAGCTGCAGACGGGCGGACAGACGGACGGCGGTGGCGATCGAAGGCGCAGGGAGGCCCGCGCGGCGGGAGGGAAGAGACGTCCGCAGGGCAAGCAAGAGCCAGACCCGCAGCCTCCCCCGACAGAGCCATGGACAGCACCGGCAACGCCACCCTGCTCTTCGGCACCGGCAACGCCACCCTGCTCTTCGGCCCCGACAACGCCACCCTGCTCTTCGGCCCGTCCACGCTGCCTCCGGACAATTACACCTTGTCGCCCACCGCCAGCAGCCTGAGTCCCGGCCCGGACGCACCCCTCGCGCCGGCCTCCAGCGCCGGCCCGGGCCCCGTGCTCAGTGTGGCGCCGGGGCCCGGGGTCAGCTTCAGCCCCGGGCCCACTCATGAGGTGCGGGAGAGCTGCAAAGAAACGAGATGAGGGTGATGTCCAGGCAGACATGAAGAGGCAGGGCTGGAGGGGAGAAGCTCTAGATGGGAACAGAGGTGCTCTGAGGTCTGGGGGTCTCATCCATAGCTCTCTCCCCACCCTCCCTGACTGTTGCACTGTCAATGCACGTCTGTGGGCCCCAGAAGACAAAGGGAACTGGGAAGTCTGAAGCCAGGACTTGGGAAATGTAAAAGCAAAATAGGACTGTTGGCTCCAGTAAAGAAAGTAATCTCATATATAAGATTGTGATTGAGGTCATTCCAACAAGTAGTATCTGGCAGCTTTACCATGTCCTTCAGGGTGCTTTGGAGGATTAGAAAAGAGAACAAAAATATTCCTTGCCCTCACAATCATCCAGAGGGTAACCAGTGTAGTAGGCTGCAGAAAGCAGAGAGCCACAGTCCTGAGATTCTTTTTATCTTACCTGGAGTTCTTGTTTCAATTGGGCTTAGACATGCTGCTCTCTTGGTGCTCCCCTGAGATGAAGCAGGTTCACCCCTGACTTCAAACTGGGGGTCTTGTAGTCGCCCTCTTTCTCCTTTATCCAGTGTGCAAGCAAGGCTCTTTGGCTCAAAGCTGTTCCAACTTCTGTCCATTCCCTTTCCTGCAGCATCATCATGACCATCTCCTCCACCCTCCTGGCCCTGGTCTTGATGCCCCTGTGCCTGTGGATCTACAGCCGGCCTTGGATTGACACTCCCCTGGTGCAGTTACTGCCCATAGGGACGGTGATCCTGACGCTTTGCAGCACTCTCATCCCCATCGGTTTGGGCGTCTTCATCCGCCACAGATACAGCCGGGTGGCCGACTACATCGTGAAGGTAAGGTCGCTCTTGACTGCTTTACATTCGTAGAGGGTCCCAGGTCTCTGACCCACGGCCGAAATAGGGAGAAGTTTGGAAAAGAAGGATAAGGAAGAAAAGGACTGGGCAGCCCTTGCATGGATAAACTTAAAAAATTATGCCGGGAAGATAACTTCCATCCCATCTTTTAGAACTTCAAAAATAACAGCTTTAATTAATATACCAAGGTTGATTAAAAACAGCATAAGATAACTGTCAGTACTCATAGGTGGAAACAGATCATGAGGAAAAAAGATGACTGCAATTAAACGGCAACATGTTTTTCACTAAGAAGTCATGTATTACTAAAAATCAAAGCAGGTGAAATAAAGTTATTTTAATTGGATTTGTGCAGTATTTTAGAAATGCATTACTATTCTTTAAAAGTAGAACTCTAGTTCTCAGAAACTCTGTAGCAGATTCCTTTACAATGTTTTATTAGTTTTCTAAAAGTAAGTTTACACTAATAAGACCAAAGGTAATTCAAAAATTACATCATGGAATATAATAGAAAACACAAAATAAAATTAGGTCCTGGGTAAATAATGCAGAATATATTACCATTACTAAATTTGTGTTTCTTTTTCCTTCCCCATTGCAATATTTCATATGAGTTCTAAAGCTAGTGAAAGGATGAAATTTCTATTATTTTGTGCAATATTTCCAATATTGCTTTATTTTTAAAAAGTAATGCTTTTTGTAGCAGTAGAGATTTTGTAATAATTGATTGGAGGAAAAAAATTTAAATATTTATAAATTAAACTTTCTTTGAAAACTCAAAAATAGTAGTAAACAAGAGTAAACCATGAACAGGATTCTCATTTTAGGAAGTTAAATAAAGTAAATAACTAGTTACCATATAATGTATATGCAAATTCCTTTAGAAAACAAAGAGAAAAAGGCTCACCCTAATGTTTAAATTATGTAGATTTAAGATGACATAATCCTTTGTGTTTTACTTATTTTATTTATTAAAGTAATCTGATACAGAGGGACTAACTTTAATATGAAAAAGAGAGGGCCCTTTTCAGTACATATATTCAAACTTGAGTAAAAAAATATGCTCTGTAATAAACATATATTCTTTGAATGTAATAATTGCAGGTGGATTCTTTACTGTCTGAGCTGCCAGGGAAGCCCAATAAATATACATGTATATGTAAACATAAATATTTTAATGTTAAACATAATATACTATAGATCATTTCGAGAGCATTAAGAACTTATTAAGTTTGGTCATTAAGCTAATAGTATTAATGTGATGCATTTACTATAAAACCTTAGGAATTCTAAGAGAAAGTCAATCAAATACCCTATTCCCATGCTAAAAATAAATATATTTAAATAACAGACAATCCAATAAGACTGTCTAACTTAGAGTTAAAGCTGGACCTATTTCTTAACTAGTACACTCATAGATCTGCTTCATAATATTTTTATACTTTTGCAAACACTTTAAAATGAGTATTCAATGTCAGTGCTCATGCAAATGATTTAAAATGGTTCAAAGGAAATGATTCAGAGCCACTATTTTCACAATGAAGAATCAGATTTCTTGTCAAAGCTTTTGATGTAGACACACTTTGACACTTAATAGTTTTGATTGGTACATTTGTAGCATGAGTATCTTATATTATTTCAGTACCCTTTAGAATAGACTTTTGACCAGCCCAGATACATTTTGAATGATTTTTTAAAGAGTATATGCCAATCCCACAGACTCCAAAGGATTATCTTCCCACATATCTATGAAACCAGAAGCAACACTTAAATGGCTCTGGAACTGTCCTCTTCCTCACAAACACCCACCCAACCCTCCGCCCCATTGAAAAAAAACAAACTGCCAACCTGAAGAATGAGAAGAATTTCTAGGTTTCCATCTTACTATTTACGAGCCTGTCTTACTTGCATGAGTGACATAAATCAGTCAGACATCAAGATGACACACAGTTTTTAGTCAATTGTTTTGTACCTAAAATCTTTCTGTTATATATAATAATTTCTAAGCATCATTAGAGACAGGTGGGAGGTTTCTCATCAACAGATGAAAAGGAGGGAGTTCCAGAATTACAAAGAATTCCTCACATCTTATATTTACATTTTTTTCTTTTCTCTAACCTAATCTGAGTTGGTAATTGTTGGGTATTACTAACAGTTCTCTGAGATATAAAGTATTTTGAAAGTCAAAAATATTGGACACTCAGTTGCATAAATTAATAGCCTTTTATCTTCTGTGTAAAACCAGAACTAATTTCTTAAGGAAAACATGGAGTCCTGTTCAGGGGAAGTAATATCCATCTGTCTACTCCATTCATCAGACTATACCTGTTATATTGGGCTCAGTTCTAACCGCCCTGTTTTTAAAAGGCACATTGACAAATTAATGTTCAGAACAGTCAGACTTCCCAGTTAGTGCTAGTGGTAAAGAATCTGCCTGCCAATGCAGGAGATGCAAGAGATGAGGGTTCAATCCCTGGGTCGGGAGGATCCCTTGGAGGAGGAAATGGCAACCTACTCCAGTATTCCCGTTGGGAAAATCCCACGGATAGAGGAACCTGGTGAGCTACAACACATGGGGCTGCAAAGAGTCAGACAGGACTGAGCATTCAGAACAAATGGGGACTCCAAAACAGAGTTATGGGATGGAGGCTGAAAACCTGGGACAGTCTGCCCCCAGAGAAGAGTAATAACCTTCCCCTCATAACTGTTTTTAAATGCTTGTAGGCTGTTTTTAGGAGGAGCAGCCTGTCTGGTCTGTGTTGCTCCTGAGTTCTTGTCCAAGACAGTGGCTGGCAGCTATCACAGGTACATTGTCATTACACATAAGGACAGGTCGCCAACAGAGCTACCTGACATGGCCAGGATGCCTCCTGAGGTGGTCTACCCATTCTCAAAAATAGTGTCAAAAACTTTCATGGCGAAGATCTTCATTTTGTGTAGGAGATCAGACTAGATGGCTCTCCTCTTCCAAGAGTCCAGGGTCCCCTTGTTTGAATTCCTCCGTAACTATCTTATTGTTGTCTTCAGGGCATACCAGGCTGGCATTGCACAATCTTAGTTCCCCCACCAGGAAAGGAAATGATTCAGAGCCACTATTTTCACAATGAAGAATCAGATTTCTTGTCAAAGCTTTTGATGTAGACACACTTTGACACTTAATAGTTTTGATTGGTACATTTGTAGCATGAGTATCTTATATTATTTCAGTACCCTTTAGAATAGACTTTTGACCAGCCCAGATACATTTTGAATGATTTTTTAAAGAGTATATGCCAATCCCACAGACTCCAAAGGATTATCTTCCCACATATCTATGAAACCAGAAGCAACACTTAAATGGCTCTGGAACTGTCCTCTTCCTCACAAACACCCACCCAACCCTCCGCCCCATTGAAAAAAAACAAACTGCCAACCTGAAGAATGAGAAGAATTTCTAGGTTTCCATCTTACTATTTACGAGCCTGTCTTACTTGCATGAGTGACATAAATCAGTCAGACATCAAGATGACACACAGTTTTTAGTCAATTGTTTTGTACCTAAAATCTTTCTGTTATATATAATAATTTCTAAGCATCATTAGAGACAGGTGGGAGGTTTCTCATCAACAGATGAAAAGGAGGGAGTTCCAGAATTACAAAGAATTCCTCACATCTTATATTTACATTTTTTTCTTTTCTCTAACCTAATCTGAGTTGGTAATTGTTGGGTATTACTAACAGTTCTCTGAGATATAAAGTATTTTGAAAGTCAAAAATATTGGACACTCAGTTGCATAAATTAATAGCCTTTTATCTTCTGTGTAAAACCAGAACTAATTTCTTAAGGAAAACATGGAGTCCTGTTCAGGGGAAGTAATATCCATCTGTCTACTCCATTCATCAGACTATACCTGTTATATTGGGCTCAGTTCTAACCGCCCCGTTTTTAAAAGGCACATTGACAAATTAATGTTCAGAACAGTCAGACTTCCCAGTTAGTGCTAGTGGTAAAGAATCTGCCTGCCAATGCAGGAGATGCAAGAGATGAGGGTTCAATCCCTGGGTCGGGAGGATCCCTTGGAGGAGGAAATGGCAACCTACTCCAGTATTCCCGTTGGGAAAATCCCACGGATAGAGGAACCTGGTGAGCTACAACACATGGGGCTGCAAAGAGTCAGACAGGACTGAGCACTCAGAACAAATGGGGACTCCAAAACAGAGTTATGGGATGGAGGCTGAAAACCTGGGACAGTCTGCCCCCAGAGAAGAGTAATAACCTTCCCCTCATAACTGTTTTTAAATGCTTGTAGGCTGTTTTTAGGAGGAGCAGCCTGTCTGGTCTGTGTTGCTCCTGAGTTCTCGTCCAAGACAGTGGCTGGCAGCTATCACAGGTACATTGTCATTACACATAAGGACAGGTCGCCAACAGAGCTACCTGACATGGCCAGGATGCCTCCTGAGGTGGTCTACCCATTCTCAAAAATAGTGTCAAAAACTTTCATGGCGAAGATCTTCATTTTGTGTAGGAGATCAGACTAGATGGCTCTCCTCTTCCAAGAGTCCAGGGTCCCCTTGTTTGAATTCCTCCGTAACTATCTTATTGTTGTCTTCAGGGCATACCAGGCTGGCATTGCACAATCTTAGTTCCCCCACCAGGGACTGAGCCCATGCCCCTTGCTTTGGGAGTGCAGAGTCTTCACTGGACTGCCAGGGAAGTTCCAAAAACTATTTTTGATGGCTTCTCTGTTTTCTTTTACTAGATTTCCCTATGGTCTCTGCTAATGACGCTGGTGGTCCTTTTCATATTGACCGGCACTATGTTAGGACCTGAACTGTTGGCCAGTATTCCAGCAGCTGTTTATGTGGTAGCGATTTTTATGCCTTTGGCAGGCTATGCCTCCGGCTATGGCTTAGCTACTGTCTTCCATCTTCCTCCCAACTGCAAGAGGACGGTGAGCCTGGAAACAGGGAGCCAGAATGTGCAGCTCTGTACCGCCATCCTGAAACTGGCATTTCCACCACAAAACATAGGAAGTATGTACATGTTTCCCTTGCTTTATGCCCTTTTCCAGTCTGCAGAAGCAGGGATTTTTGTTTTAATATATAAAATGTATGGAAGTGGAGTACTGCACAAGCAAGATCCTCTAGATGAAGATGAAGATACAGATATTTCTTATAAGAAACTGAAAGAAGAGGAAATGGCAGACACGTCCTATGGCACAGTGAAAGCAGATAATTTAATTATGATGGAAACCACTCAGACTTCACTCTAAATATGGAAATACACAGGAGAGTTTATCTTGCTGAAATACTACTTCATATTTATGGTCTGTCGTAGTGTCTATGGTTTACATAAAGAACAACAACTGGTTCACATCATTATACATGTAACAATTTTGATGTACCCACGATAAGGTTGCATTGGTGTATTAACCAAGCATTTACATAAATGACAAATCAGTGTTGTAATTTGCACTTGGGACTGCTAGGTTGATGGCCTGAACAAGTGTGCTTTTTGGTTTTCACCATTACCAATTTCTATGACTGTTTCAAATATGTTAAACAGGGTCTTGGAAATGTAGAATTTTATGCACTATCTTATATGAGTAAAAACATGCTATATTTGTAAAGCATAATTGAGTTGAATGTAATTATTGTTAAAACAAAGTGTGCTTGCTCAGTTTATAAGTACTTGACACTGTTAAAATTTGACCTGTATTCAGAGAAATCCCCAAACAGGTCAATTAAACAATGAAATATAATATCTCATTGTCCAACCTGTTTCAAATCAGGGAAAAGTTACATTAATGTATTTGATTATTTGATCTGATATCTATTTGTAATGAACAGCCAACATCTTTCTCATTAACAAGGCATTTGCTTTTCAACTGGGGACTGGTTTCATCTTCAGCGTTTATGTAAACACAGCCTAAATCAGTTTTCCTTTGCAAAGTTTATTTGGTCAGAAAAATCCGTGGAACGATTATCCTCCCCAGAGAATAGCAATCCTTGGTGGTACTCAACAGCACCTCCTGGTCACCATTTGAGGTTGGCGGGGGACGCAGGAGGCGGGGCGGCGGGGAGGGAGTAAATTCTCCAAGGGAGAAAACAATTAGCCTAGATACGAAGCCCTAGAGTGCTTTCCCTATGCACTTACTGAAAGGGTTCAATGCGTAGATTTCTCAGAGCAACTCTGAGATGATTAAATAACGTATAATGTGAGGTCGTAGGTTATCAGACCCCAAGCAGTCTCCCCAAACCTTCGCATTTTTGCTCGCTAGCCAGAGGCACCCAGCCTAGCCTCAGCTTCGGAGGCGGCAGACAATAACCGAGGAATGGCGACCACCTGGTTAATCCCGGGGATGGTTCTGCGGGTATCCTCTTCACCTGGGGCAAGGTCACTTCCAGGTCAGTTTTGCGTCGCAAAGCAAGTTTTCTTTGCAGATCATTTTAGGTATATTCGCGCCGACCTCCGGGTGTGGAATATTCCCACACCACGGTCGGGGAGGGAAGCCTTCGGCGGGGAAGCGAGGACCCCAGCGGGTGGGGAGGTGGGGGTGGGGCGCTGACCCAGCGCAGCGCTGCCCGCGGGGGTGGGGCCCGCGCCCGGCCGCCCCGGGAGGTCGTCTATTTAGGGCGCCGGGGCCGGCCTGCAGGCGGCAGGGGAACGCTGATGGCTGCCCTGGGGGACATCGTCCTGGATGGTTACCTGTACCCGGCGTGCGCCCTCTATTCGTACCGGTGCCTCTACCCGGCCGCCGCCGCCAAGGGAAAAAGCGGGGCGGACGAGGGTGGCTCGCGACCCCGGGGCGGGGGCTACCCTCCCGTTTCCTCCTCCTCCGACGGCGCGGCCTCGTCGTCGTTCCCGGGCCAGCGGCAGCTGGCGGCCGCCGAGTACGTCCACAGCTACCACCGCGCGCAGCTCATGGCCCTGCTGTCGCAGGTGGGCCCCCGCCGGGCCAGCACTCGGGACGCGGCGGTGCAGATGAACCCGTGCCGCGACGTGTCGGTGCAGTGCTCGCTGGGACGGCGGACGCTGGGGCGCAGGGCCCGCGAGTCCGGCCCGAGTCCGGATCCCGAGGGCGCGGTGGTCGCGGGCGACGGCGAGCCGCGAGCAACCCCCGCCGGTGGCCAGGGTCCCGGACGCCGCTGGCGAGAGGTCGTCGTCCCGGAGCCCTCAGCCGGGCAAGGAGCGCCTGCGCTTCCAGGTGAGACCCGAGTCGGCCCGGGAACTGGCAGGGGATCCCCGCGAGTTATGTTGGCTCCCATCCGCGTCCGGGTGCCCGCCCTCGGCTGCTCTCGACACGCGCCGGCGCGCTTCGGTGCCTTTCGGTGGCTGCTGAAGTCTATCTCCGTCAGCATCAAATCTAGTATAGTGGGCTTGTTGCTGTTATCGTTGAACTCCAGCTGCACAGGGGTGGCAGTAGAAAAGCTCTTAACGTTCTTACTCCGAGAGTATTTGCTGACTGCCAGAGTGTAGTCAGCTGTCTACAGCAAATAAATCGTATGTACACTGGATGATCCACGATGGGCCTCAGAACATGAGAAGGTGAACTTATTGGCCAGGAGAGTCAATTCCCGTGGATCCCACTCTGTTCTGAATTCACTGTGTTAGAAACCATAACCATTGACGACTGGGGTCCTGGTCAAAATTTTACCTTGCACTTAAGACACACCCCTATTCGGAAATCTGGCGGTACTGCCGGGCACTGCTCCGCGAGAGCAGCAGGCTTGGAGGGCCATGTCGTAGTTGCCTGAATGCTAAAGAGCTGGAGCGCACTGGGGGGTTGTAACCCAGCCGAGGAGAAAGACTTGAGAAGTAGTAAGAGGCCGGGAGGAGTCCTTCTGATGTCTCCTCCAGGCCCTCAGGGCTATTTTGTGGGGGTCCGGGAAGCAAAGAGAGTGAAACAGATTTGTGCACAAGCTGTGACCTCTCCAAACTGTGTTCATACTCAAACGTTTAACCTTCTGGACTTCAGCTTGCTCACCTGTGAAAATGCTGAGTCTTCCAAAGCTCTTTCCAATCCTAAAGACCTAACTTTGAAAAACTTGTTTGTAACTTGTTTCTTACTGAGAATAACTTAAAGAATAAGATAATACTACTTTTGTTCATATTGTGTATGAATTAATGGCTTATCCATATTTTCAATTCTCAGCACCACTGTTTGGTAGAAACTTAATTAACAATATAAAGAGCTTTTTTTCAAGGTGTTCACCCAAGATTATTTTAGGGTGGAGTCTTATTTCTTCCGTTTGACTACTTCATTTGCGTGTGTGCTAAGATCAGACCTATTTCACAGAAAGAAAAACTCTCCCTCTAGAATCCCAAGATTCAGGAACCCTGTATGTTTGGCTTTCCCCTTGCCTGTCTGCAGGAAAACACCTGCTTAGTAAACTGCTATTTGAACCAAGTAAATGTGGAACACAAACTTCTGTGGGCCCATGCTTTTCTATTCAATACTTGATTAAGCTATTAGCTTTGCTAATTGTTACCTTGTGGAGACCAGCTTGAACCTGATTCTGCTTTCCTCCATGGTCTGAGGCAGAGTGCCAGTTTTGAGTATCAGATCCTTTCCAGGCTGCTTGCAATGAAGGCTGGTTCAGATGGCAAGTTGGTTAAACTCTGCTATTGTCTCGCTCAGTTCTTAGAGCAGAAGTATGGCTACTATCACTGCAAGGACTGCAATATCCGCTGGGAAAGTGCCTATGTGTGGTGTGTACAAGGCACTAACAAGGTAAGCAATGCCCTGTCACCAGCGGCATCCTGACAAAAGATTCAGGAGAGTTTGGACTCTAAGTTTTTCCTTTTCCCTTCAGGTTTACTACAAGCAGTTTTGCCGAACATGCCAGAAGTCTTATAACCCTTACCGAGTGGAGGATATCACCTGCCAAGTAAATTGAACGTTTACATTTTATGCGTGAACTAGATAGTGATGAGAAGGTTTAGGAGGAGTTTCTTGAAAATATTCCTAAGAGAGCCTAGATTCCCAGTGACCTGAGGTTTTGATTCCTTTCTGGAAGGAGTTGTAGAAATAATACTCAACTGCGAAGCCAGGTCTCGGTGTTAGTTCCCTCCTGTTCTTGTAAACCTTGGTTGTGTGAACATTTCTGGAGACTGTTGTCTCATTTGCAATGTGGAAGAATGTTTGCTTTACCTGACACTCAGTCCAGTTCAGGAGAGAGTCAACTTAAATAACAGAATACCTTTTAACATGAGGTAATAAAGGCTGACAATTTTATGCAAATACATTTCATGAAACACATACCCAAGTTATAAGTATTTAGTGAAAATACTAGTTTTTCAAAATTTTCTGTTTTGCCTTAGTTCAGAAAGGAATTTGTTTTAAAGTAAACTTATCAGGTTAAGTGGGAACAGGTTGCTTGTTACTATTAACTGAGCACTGCCTTGTGATAATGGGCTGTGATAATCAAAGAGGAAAGAAGGAACTAAATTTGGTGGTTACCACACGGCTAGTGGACCTTGACTTGCCAGTTGAGACAGCCTAATCGATGCCCTTGACTCAGAGGAGAACAAGTTCTGAAGCAGAGGAATCTGACAAGGAAATAGAATTTACTGTAACAGCGCTGCTCTTGGCCAGCGGCTGCTGCTCTGCCTGCTGCCTCAGCCTGAGGCCCTGGGCAGCAGGGAGGGGGCCAAGGTCAGCCGCTGGTGCCAGGCCTGCTACTAGCTCCTGGCCTCACACCTTCACTTTTGTAGTCAGACTCCTCTCTCCTACCTGGTAGCTCTCCACCCTGGCTTCAAGGGTAGGAAGAGATTTCCTCTTAAACTTCTTCAAAAGAAGCTTCACAATTCAGAATCGAATCCTATGCAAAATGGGAGCAGGAGTGCATGATGGAGGCGCTCCTACTCCCGTTCCTGTCCTTGCAGACAGAACAAGGTCAGCACAGAACCTTAGTGCGCATTCAGGTAGTATTTGAATGGACTAGAGAAACAATTTTGAAGTTCCAGGACATCACCAAGGGGTTTATCTTCTGTATGCATGTCTCACTTTGATTTTTTTCAGAACTGTAAACAGACTAGATGCTCCTGCCCAGTGAAACTTCGCCACGTGGACCCCAAAAGGCCCCACCGTCAAGATTTGTGTGGGAGATGCAAAGGCAAACGCCTATCCTGTGACAGTACTTTCAGTTTCAAATATATCATTTAAATGAATGTGGGGGGGGGGAATTAAAAAAAAACCCCGTGGTCCTGCTGAACCTCTGCTCTGCTGAACCTGTGAGCTGAGCTCTTGTTCCCCCATGTCCCTCCTCCTCTTCTGCCGCTTCCTCGAAATACTTCGTGAAAGGCTGTTACTTGATAAAACTGTAAAATAAAAGCATTGCAAAACAGTTGATACACTGCGTAAAATCCACTGGAGAGCCTGTCCTAACAGTCTATGCTTGCTACTTTAGTATTTGTCCATTGCTTATGGAGCAGCCAGGCTCTGAGCTAGGCTAGTCACTACTTGACAGTATGAAGGGACTCACTGATGGGATGTTTATTGCTTTTGTAGGTCTGATGCCTTTAAGAAGTTAATTGAGCAAAAAAGCCATCTATTAAAATGAGCATTCTTCTGCAGGAGGTGAAGGCAGAGCCAGGCCTTGATGTTTGAGGGGACGGGTGATGGGTAACCCAGAGTCAGAACCGGGAGTGCATGGCCTCCAGATCATCTCAGTGCAGTAGGTGGTGAGGGACAAAGGCTGGGAGAACTTGACTTGCTGACAACATCACAAGATACGGAACAGATGTAGAATGGAACGGGTCGGGGGAGCTGAGGGCAGTTTTTAGATGTTAAATAACTTCAAATGAACTTTAGCTGGTAATGGAACATTAAAAAAGGTCTCCTAAATGTATTTAAAGATGAAGTAAGAGGCAGCTTTAGCCTTTGTCATTGTGGACTTGTAGTTCTGTAGGTGGAAAGTTTTTGGCACCATTTAACATAGGGCTCCTCATCCTAACTGTGCCTAATAGCTTTCTACCAGATTACCAAGAAAACACAGAGCCTGGGGCATTGGTGGGGGCGGGGTATGACAGGAGGGATTCTAATGAAGTCAGAGTTGAGAGCTGTTGGTTTCCTGGTTACAGAAACAGCATAATTGGAACCAGGTGCTAATTATGCCTTCCAAATTTCTAACCATTCCACTTTAGTTAACCCTTACTACCTTAGAGCAGCCATGTATATAGTAAGTCTCTTAAGGTCGTATGCTTGTACAGAGACAAATATGGGGAGTTAAAGAAACTAAAATGAATTTGAAGTCTCTGGAACCTCTTATAGTGGGGGGAAGGCCTCTAACCCCATGACCTGGTGTTTGTAAAAATGCAGATTCTTAGGCCTCTGTTCCTACTGAAGCACTATCTGGAGATGAAGTGTTTAATAAGCACCCCAGATGTTGCTTATGTAACTGAAGTGTGAAAACAATTGAGTCAGGCCTGAAGTTACCTCGGAGAAGCATGGCTGTGGCCTCTGCCCTGATAAAGCTTCCAGTGAGGTGGGCATATGCCCATTAATTTCTGCAGAGAACCTCTGCTATGCAGAAGTAAGAGCCACTTAGCACCTGGCAGAAAACGAAATGGATCTGACTTGGGAGGGAAGAGAAGGCTTGCCTGAAAAAATGACACTGTACCTGAGCTAAAGTTTGGATGAGCTGAATTCCGCGAAGAGGGAAAGAAAGAACTTTTCTAGACTAAGCTAACATGTGCAAAGGCCCAGTGGTAGAGAAAGCCAGGAGGCCACAGTGGCAGAATACACTGGAGGACAGGGGTGGGTGTGATGGCTGGCATCACTGGTAAGCCCAGGCTGGAGCAACTGGTCCTCACGTGTCATCAGTGAGGATCCACTGAAAGGCTTTAAAGCTGTGGTAGAGCCTTAGTGACAGACTGACCTTTAAAACAAAATAATCACTCTGGCAATACCATGTATGCTCGTAAACCCATAACGAGTCTTGCAAAGATCAAATGGCAGTGGGGCCAAAGAGAAATGCAGGACAAGGATAGTAAGGTGTGGGTGAAGGTGATGAATTTTGTTAATGCTGTTAACTTATCATGAGGTCACCGGTAGGTGGTAGGTGCAGGGATAGACCAATCTGACTTACACGGCACACGAGAGGTGTGTTTATTCTAAGCATCTGATGAACAAATGAGGGACAATAGAAATGAGCCCTACAGTGAGCCCTAGAACAAATTCAATGGTTATTAATACGGCTATTAATCATTCTTTAGGCTTAACATTGCCATTAATTTTCCCAATAGCGCAGTTAACCCTATTTACAGTTAAGCAAAGCCAGGATCAAAGTATGTTTTACTTAGAGTTAGTGGCCATTCAGAAACTGAACAAAGTGGTACAAGAACTTGTGATGAGAGTTATGGTCAGAACATTTTGGCAATGAGGCACTGTCAAACTATGTCTAATTGGAGATTTATGTGATTTTCCTGAGAGACTTGAGAGGCTAGAAGGAAATACCCCAGAATGCTGTTCTCTCTGGGTATCAAGGGAAGTGATTCTAGTTTTGTTCATATTTCTTATATTTGCTAAAGTGACAGTTTTGAAATTTTGAAAATTTAAAAATAAAAATGCCATAAAGTACAACTATATTGACATCTATTCTTATCTCCTTTTGTATAGATTATGCTGGTGGATAAGCAGTTCTCAGTGACCAAAAGGAGGGATGCTCGCTCTGGCTCTGGTGAGTCTGTCCCGAGACTGTGTGACTGTGAATTTATGATGGATTGTTGTGGGGGCGGGGGACACCACACCCTCCCCATCTTACATTACTAGAAGTAAAAATATGTTCTAAATCATGTAAACTTTTGGATAAACCACAGTATCTCATGTTATTTTACAGACTTACTCTTTAAAAATGATAAATTTAGTGGGCAAAAGAAAAAGGTTGTAAATGAGCAAAAACTGGGCTCTGATTAAAACTAAATAAGGTGTTCAATAAATTAAGCATTTGATATATTTTGTTAATGAATGCACACTTTGGATCCAGAGGACAAGGAGCAACAAAGTGTAGGTTTTAAGAAAACCTGATTTGCAGACAGGAAATCCTAATGATTTTATATCTGCATCCTGCTTTCTGCAGGTGTATTCATCTTTATTACATTATTAATAGACTTAGTTACATATGAATAGGAAAAGGAAATTTCAAATGTTTGGAAGGTTGGGTTAGTTAGTCAATTGAACTAAATGTGTTCTCCCCCTTTGAAGGATAACTATTTTTTTTTTTTTTTATTGATAACTATTATTAANTTTTTTTTTTTTTTAGGAATAGTGAAGGCAACATTTGAAAAGTTCCTTAATGAGGCACACTATAATCATTCATCCTTTCTTAAAATACAACACAGACCAAGAGCTACAATGCTTTTTATTTTAACAAAAAGGATATAAGGAGGGTGAGAAAAATAGGGGATGGTGAGATAGGATGTAGAGTGTGGTGTGTCTCCAGACACCACTGCTCTCCTCCTGCCCCACACCCAGAAGTCATTAAATAATTTAAAGGACACCATTTACAGTACCAGAACACCATCAAAATAATTGCTTTTATCAGGGTCAAAAAATACAGTGATTATGAATGTGCTGTGACCAGTTACAGAATTCTGTAGGTAACATAACTTTAGTCAGCAGTCCAGTGGCGTGCACGGCGCCCTCAGTTAATGCACTTGAGCATAATTACATTTCTGGCAGGGTCCGCACCGCCAAGAAAAGGCAAAGCTAAGCATTTCATTTCTACATTCTAAACTCTGGAACCCCAGAGCCCAGTTTAAAAGAAAAGTCACAGTGGATAAGAGATGCATATAAAAAATACAAGGTGTTCCTTTCAAATCAGAGGAATTTGTGGGACTACATTCATTTCTTTTACAAAATGCTATTTTAAAAAAAGGACAGAGAAATCCAGTCCATGTTATACTGCAGACTTGGACAGTGACTAAAAGTGTATTGCATGTTTTGGTTAAGTCAGTCTTCAGGCTTCCTTTCATCTTCCCCCGTAGCCCCGGGTTCCTTAAGAGTGAAACATGTGAGTCCTGCATAAACATATACAAATGCATTTGCATCTCTCTTCTTAAATTCTGCAGACTTTCAGGGCCTGCAAGTCACATATTCTACCATCAATGACCACAGTTTTTTTCTTTAGCTTTGTACACCTCTTCTTGTATAACAGTGCACTGCACAAATGTACAAGAAAATACCAGTTTTAATCTATACAGTTTCTATAATAATTATGGAGTAAAATAAGTTAACTTTTCTAATGAGAAGCGCTGACGGGCAGCATACATCTTTATTGTACATTTTAAAGTCTCCGCAGGCATCTACTTTGGTTAGTTATCAACAATTGTAACATAAGCACTGATCAGAGAACTGAGCAGCATTCCAATAACGTTAACAGATATATTATTTCTTTTCGAAATACTGGGAAAGCCCAGTTTTAAAATATTATTAAAATGTCCTAACATTTACACACTATGAAGAGTTAGATCTAATAAAATAAATTTTTTCAAAAATAATCTTGCAGTGCTCTTTTAGGCATGCTCTGAGACGTTATCACCAAACACCCATACCTTGAAAATATGACTATCACATATGCACACATCTCAGCTCACACACACACACACAATTCCTTATACAGACCAAAAAAAAAAACACCCACGCCCTTATCCCACATATTGGGGAAAAAAAAAAAATCAATGGTTTTTGCAAATAAGTCTTTCTGTGTCTATCTATCCGAATAGATGTTCTTCATGTAGATGATTAAGCATCAGTTGTCGATTATGCTTGTGACTGCTAGAAACCCAAGCAGCTCTGCAGGTCTTCAGCTAAAATGAACCAGCCTCGATTTCAGCCTCATTTTACCTGCTTTCTAATGTCTCAGTATTAGAGGCCATTATTGCAAACATTCTTAGAATTCTTTTCTTTCTCCAGAAAGTATTGTATTTGTATGCATCACTTTTAGCCCTTTTCTTTTCACGTAGGTAAAGTCATTTAAAAAATTCTTTCTTTATACGCTTATTGTGGGAGGTATTGGCAGCCGTTAGATGATTAGTTTTTTCCCCTTCAGATGTGGTTCTGACATTCTTTTTTACCTTGAGAAAGTTTGACATTGGTTACACTGGGGTTGTGGATGCTGCCAGAGAAAGTCATCAGTGAACTGCAAGGGTCCATAAAAGGTGCTT